ACAGCTGGGAAATAAATTGCATGTTTATATTAGATCTGTGTGGCAGCAGCAATATAAAGTAAATCAATAAGTCTACTCCTCTGAGGCTGGGACTCTAAACCGTGTTCTGTGCTCGTCTGTGAAGCCAAAGGCAGAACAGTTAGCATGTTTTGCTCAAACTTTCACCATGGCATTAGAACTGGTACACCGTTGTCGCTTGCGAAATCAAAATGACGGCACTGTGGGTGTAAACTTACAGATTAAGGGGCGGTAATATTATAATGAGATCCTTTTGCGCCGTCACTAGGGGAGCGAAATCAGACGCGCTCGTTTTTAAAGACTCTTGCAGAAAAAGGCTTACCAAAACAAAGTTACTGGGTTAATCTTTTTCAAGTTTCGTTGGTTGGTAGATGCACCGGGGACCTGATTATAGCATTTAAAACCTGGAAAAGTCCGATTTTCATGATATGTCACCTTTAAGACCTGATGCATGGATCCAATATTATATAATGATACTCATCCGATTTGTTCAACCCCTATGACCAGCCCTATCTGATAATAATTTACTGTGTTTTCTCCACTGATCTCAGAATGATCGAGGGAAAGCTCAAAAAGCCATGGAGGCCACCTGGAACACCATGGAGAAGAAAGAGAAGATCATGTGGATCAAGAAGGCTGCAGAGGACCAGAAGAGATATGAAGTGAGTCCAGACATTTTATGGCATTAATGTCCGACTGCTTTTAGTAAAGTAGCTGATCATATGTCTACTGCCTGCGGGGTTTTTCTTTTCTTCCTGATTTCCTGTGTGGAAGATTTCATGCTTTTTTTCTTGTTTTTTTTTTTATATCTTCTGTCTTGTGCAGAGAGAGCTGAGTGAGATGCGATCGCCTGCCCCAGTCATCATCCCTGGGAAGAAAATGAAATTTGATGGGGAACCTAAGAAACCACCCTCGTAAGTTTGTTCTTGTGTGTCTGTGTGTTTGTTGGTTTATCTACAATTATTACACCTCTACAAGGAAAAAGCTGTTGGTGTGTTTGAGGCAGCTCGCTTGTCTTACCTTCCCACTCTTTCTGTTCGTGCTCTCTTCACCTGTGACTTCAGAAATGGTTATCAGAAGTTCTCTCAGGAGATGCTGTCAAACGGCGAGCTGAATCATCTGCCCATGAAAGAGCGCATGGGTGAAATCGGAGGCCGCTGGCAGCGGCTCCCTCAGAAAGAGAAGGACCGTTACAAAAGGCTGGCAGAAGAGAAACAGAGGCAGTACAAAGTGCTGCTTGAGAAGTGGCTTGCGGTACATATCTTTACTGTTATTTAATCCGTTCAACACTTGCGCAAATAGCTTATTCTAATACATTACAATAGTAATAAATACTTCTTTTTTTTTTCTTTTTTTTTTACTTCACAGAGTTTATCATCACAAGAGAAAGCTACATATAAAGAATATAATTCTTTGGTGAGTCATACATTTGGGTCTACTCAGTATTGAAGTCTTATCAAAAGAGTACTGTGCTCTTGTCAAAATAGACTTAAAAAACGTTATGGTATATAATTCAAATGTTTCTCAAATCAATATATATATTTTTTTTTTATTTAAAATGGTGATATTTAATCATTTAAAAACATTAAATAATTAAATATTTAATTTCAATATTCGTTTTTTTGTAACGCTTTCTGCCTGCCGTTCTGCCTGTTTAATGTTTTTTCTTAAACTTTTCTGCAGAAACGGAGGAGCACATCAAAACCAGGTGCCACTGCTGCTAAAGTGAAACCCAAGGCCAAACAATCGGTGAGTTTGATCATACATGAATCATTTAGCATTTGTTAGCCTCTATGTACATTTTTAGCACAATGTACTGATTGATTGTTCTGTATCAATTGTGACCTTGTCCAAAGGATGAGGAAGAGGAGGAGGAGGATGATGACGATGATGATGACGATGATGATGATGACGACGAAGAGAAGGAATCTGATGATGGATCATCCTCTGATGACAGTGATGATGACGACGATGACGAAGATGATGTAAGATTTATAGCATGTTGTTCACATTTTTTCCACACATATTTTAAAACTTTCTTGCTGATATAGGATCAGCCTTTGATTTTGCAATATTGATTTTGATTAGCAATACGGAGTGCAGCAGTCGGGTTCCAGAAAAGTCCTGTTCGTTTTCTCTATAGGGGATTTCATTTTTAATGACAACTGATAAACCTTATCAGACCTCGAATGAAATGAATGAAAAATAATCTTTCCAAATTCACTTCCAGAATGAAGATGAAGAGGATGAAGAAGTTGAGGATAAAGAGAATAAGTCAGAAAGCAGCAGCAGCAGCGCTTCCAGCTCTGACGATTCCTCGGGTTCAGACTCCGATTGAGCCGGAGCCGAGTCAGGCTGAACCCACAGACTGCCAGAAATGCTGTGAACTGAGCCATGAGCCGGGGGTCTGAGCCTGCTCTGCACTGCGCTCTTCAACCACAGGAGGGGGCTCACCCCGCTGTCACACATCTGCGCCACCTCTCACACACTCTTTCCTTTGCTTCTCTTCTCTTCTGTTCTCCCCTGCACTTCTGCTTTAATTTTTTTCCTCCCTCCCTCGATGAATCCGCTTGGCAGGTTTTAAGGCATTTTAGGCAACGTGTATGAGGATGTATAGTCTAAATTCCTCCCAACACCAAAAAGGGTGCAGTGCTCCACTATTGGCTTGTAGTAGTCATGAGGCGTTATTAGGACCTCCTGTGTTTATACGTTAAATGTAGGAGGACACAGAGAGCACCATGTTCCATTTTCTTTTCCGTAAATGAGCCAAAGAGTCTCTTAGTTTCACAGATTATTTCGGGAGTTACAGGGGACCAAATAACTGCACTCTGAAGAATGTTTGCTTTCTTTTCTTCTGTCTGTGCCTCTCCTGTTCTTTCTAGTAGCGTTGTTCCTCTCCCTTTCCTGCTCCCTCCATTTTTGCTCTGGTGTTTGTTTTTGCTTCTTCAGTTCAAAACAAATGTGGTATTTTCAGGAACAATGAAGCCATTTTGAATGTGGCCGCATGGACCCCGCTGGTCTCGCACGCGGTTGTTGTTCTCCAGGCATTTGTGCGCTGCCCTTACCTGCACCTGACGAGGGGTTAAAGGTGAAAATGGACTATTTATTTTTGTCCTGTTGTAGGAATGCTGCCTGTAGCTGTTTCGCCACAGCAGATGGGTTTAAGTTCGCTGTTCATTCAGATAATAAAACGACTGATGTTACATGAGGACTAGTTTATCAGTTAATTGTTTGGCAGCACAAGCAAAGTTCTTGCAGAAGTATGCTCGTTTTGTTTTGTTTTTTGTGGATGGGGCACCAACATGTTTTTCTTCTGTTTGTTAATAATAGTTATGTATTTTTTGAAGCTGGCTTTTTTTTCCTCTTTCCAACCACTGTTTTATTTGGTGCTCCAAAGAACTGTTTTTCTTTTGAAAATGATGTTTTAAATATGATGGATATGAGTTACCCCACAATTCAGTGCACTTATGATGGAATCGCTAGCTCACAAACCTAGTGTTTTTTCAGTATTCCTCTTTCTGCGTTTCACTTATTAGCCCATAATGTCTACCACTTCACAGGTCTTTCACGCACCAGCTCAAGGAATGTAATGGAGATGTTTTATTTAAGAGAGGGGTATCGTTATTAGTTATGCGTTTATGTATATATGAACCGTTTTGAGGGTGACTGGTATATTCTCTCATTCCAATGCCCTGGCCTGAAATGGCCATTAAATTTAGTTAAACCCACAACACAGCTTCCTCCGCAGAGCTACCAACTTTTACTCCATTTTTTTTATGCAGTCCTCAACTTAATAGGGGCGCTGTAAGTGATTTTTCCCTCTATCAAAGATGATGACGATGATGATGATGACGACGAAGAGAAGGAATCTGATGATGGATCATCCTCTGATGACAGTGATGATGACGACGATGACGAAGATGATGTAAGATTTATAGCATGTTGTTCACATTTTTTCCACACATATTTTAAAACTTTCTTGCTGATATAGGATCAGCCTTTGATTTTGCAATATTGATTTTGATTAGCAATACGGAGTGCAGCAGTCGGGTTCCAGAAAAGTCCTGTTCGTTTTCTCTATAGGGGATTTCATTTTTAATGACAACTGATAAACCTTATCAGACCTCGAATGAAATGAATGAAAAATAATCTTTCCAAATTCACTTCCAGAATGAAGATGAAGAGGATGAAGAAGTTGAGGATAAAGAGAATAAGTCAGAAAGCAGCAGCAGCAGCGCTTCCAGCTCTGACGATTCCTCGGGTTCAGACTCCGATTGAGCCGGAGCCGAGTCAGGCTGAACCCACAGACTGCCAGAAATGCTGTGAACTGAGCCATGAGCCGGGGGTCTGAGCCTGCTCTGCACTGCGCTCTTCAACCACAGGAGGGGGCTCACCCCGCTGTCACACATCTGCGCCACCTCTCACACACTCTTTCCTTTGCTTCTCTTCTCTTCTGTTCTCCCCTGCACTTCTGCTTTAATTTTTTTCCTCCCTCCCTCGATGAATCCGCTTGGCAGGTTTTAAGGCATTTTAGGCAACGTGTATGAGGATGTATAGTCTAAATTCCTCCCAACACCAAAAAGGGTGCAGTGCTCCACTATTGGCTTGTAGTAGTCATGAGGCGTTATTAGGACCTCCTGTGTTTATACGTTAAATGTAGGAGGACACAGAGAGCACCATGTTCCATTTTCTTTTCCGTAAATGAGCCAAAGAGTCTCTTAGTTTCACAGATTATTTCGGGAGTTACAGGGGACCAAATAACTGCACTCTGAAGAATGTTTGCTTTCTTTTCTTCTGTCTGTGCCTCTCCTGTTCTTTCTAGTAGCGTTGTTCCTCTCCCTTTCCTGCTCCCTCCATTTTTGCTCTGGTGTTTGTTTTTGCTTCTTCAGTTCAAAACAAATGTGGTATTTTCAGGAACAATGAAGCCATTTTGAATGTGGCCGCATGGACCCCGCTGGTCTCGCACGCGGTTGTTGTTCTCCAGGCATTTGTGCGCTGCCCTTACCTGCACCTGACGAGGGGTTAAAGGTGAAAATGGACTATTTATTTTTGTCCTGTTGTAGGAATGCTGCCTGTAGCTGTTTCGCCACAGCAGATGGGTTTAAGTTCGCTGTGCATTCAGATAATAAAACGACTGATGTTACATGAGGACTAGTTTATCAGTTAATTGTTTGGCAGCACAAGCAAAGTTCTTGCAGAAGTATGCTCGTTTTGTTTTGTTTTTTGTGGATGGGGCACCAACATGTTTTTCTTCTGTTTGTTAATAATAGTTATGTATTTTTTGAAGCTGGCTTTTTTTTCCTCTTTCCAACCACTGTTTTATTTGGTGCTCCAAAGAACTGTTTTTCTTTTGAAAATGATGTTTTAAATATGATGGATATGAGTTACCCCACAATTCAGTGCACTTATGATGGAATCGCTAGCTCACAAACCTAGTGTTTTTTCAGTATTCCTCTTTCTGCGTTTCACTTATTAGCCCATAATGTCTACCACTTCACAGGTCTTTCACGCACCAGCTCAAGGAATGTAATGGAGATGTTTTATTTAAGAGAGGGGTATCGTTATTAGTTATGCGTTTATGTATATATGAACCGTTTTGAGGGTGACTGGTATATTCTCTCATTCCAATGCCCTGGCCTAAATTTAGTTAAACCCACAACACAGCTTCCTCCGCAGAGCTACCAACTTTTACTCCATTTTTTTAATGCAGTCCTCAACTTAATAGGGGCGCTGTAAGTGATTTTTCCCTCTATCAAAACCTTGATCATTTGCATGTAAAGACAAGGGGGGGGGGGATTGCTGTCAAAACAGCTCTGGATGCTGTAATTTCTGTACCAGACATGTGACCTTTATTCTAGGCATCCAAAGTAATCAAGGTCTGTATCATGCAACAATTTGTGTTCTTGGCTCAGTCTGAAAAATTAAATTTGGTTATAGATGTTTTGAATGATGGGCCGGGTAAGAAACCCAGTGGACCTTTCAAGATTTGTTGATATTTTATAGGATTTTGAGACTTGCAAATAGATTTGGGTTGGGTTCAGTGCTGTTGTAAGGTATCTGTACATATAGCTTTCTTTTATTTTCCTTTGTAATGAGTGAACATTATTGCGTTTGTATTTGCAATTGGCTAAGCATTAAGCAATATGCTGCTGTAGCCAAAATGAGTTTGTTCGTCAGTTGGGGACATGTTTTTAATTTGGTAAGTTTTAGTTTTTTACCCCTTCCAATGTTTGTTTGTTTGTAGAAATGACAAAAAAGAGAAAAAGCTTACATTTGTACTACAGGTTTGAAACATTTGGACGTTTTCTATAGCAAGAGATGTGATATCCCTGCAATTTACAATTTGAGCAAATAAACCTTCTCTTAAACAGTTTTTGTATTTGTCTTCTTATATACAGTGGGTACGGAAAGTATTCAGACCCCCTTAAAATTTTCACTCTTTGTTATATTGCAGCCATTTGCTAAAATCTTTTAAGTTAATTTTTTTCCTCAATGTATATATATATATATATATATATATATATGCTAATAATTTCATTTATTAGCATTTAAATACTTATATAATTGCTATGTTGATGTGACTAACTCGCCATATGTTTATCTGTGTGTGTGTGTGTGTGTGTGTGTGTATATCTCAGTGTGCGTATGTTTATATGTAAATATGAAATTGGAACGAATTCAAGGCAGCTCAATCGATGTGTCACCCAAGATCGGTAATAGACTAGTGATGTCTAGCCGGAGCCAAAATGGCAGCGTTGTTGTGTTTTCCAACATCATCTGTACTCAAACGACTTATCCAACCAGGCATCTAATCATTTTTGTAACATAATATTTTCGTTATTTTCATATGTACGTTCGTTTTGAGCATGTTTGTTCTATGTTGTCGTTAAACAAGAGAACAGCGGGTCCGTGAATGGCAAGACCCGGCCCGTTCAGTCTTGGTAAGTAGAGATACAATTTCAACAAGAGCGCAACAAATATGCTTCTTTTTTTTGCGCGCGGCGTCAGGTAGTACTTTGTAACACATATTTCTGCGGTTTTGAAACAGTGTTCCTGCACCCGCCCATATGTGAAGTTATATGACAGAGAAAACGGCAGTGTCACAGTCGTGCCTGTCAGCTATGTTTACAATGACAGTGTGTACATGTGTGTTCAACAGTTTTACTAGGTTTAAATATACACTGGTTATTAATTACTGGAAATCGTTTATCTTATTTGATTGCTGTTTTGCTGAATAAGTGCTTTGCCCGCCCATTTTCACAGTGTTCCCGTTATATCAGCTAGCTGAACATGATAAATAATTTATAAATCTGACACGCATGTTATAAAATGGACCTTATAGCCTAGAAAATGGTTTTTAATTTTAAGAAAGAAAATTTAGTTGATGACAAGTAATTAACAATATGAACAAATGTGGCTGTAAATGACCGTTTCAAATGTTTTCAGACGTTCACTAATTATTTTGAAATGCTGAGTCTCTTATTTAATTTATTCCGTTTTTAATTAAAAAGGCATACTTTTATCTTTAGATAGTAGGATGACCATACTATGATATCCCATTTGACTATGATGTAGTGTGCCTTTGTTTGTTTTTGTGTATTTCAGTGTTTACCACCCCTTTCTGCATTGTCGACAATGATAGCTCTCCTACAATAGTTGTTGCAAATGAAAATGGAGGATATGTCTCTGTCAGGCCTGGATAACACCAAGCTAGAGGTAAATGGTTGCAGATAATGAGTTTAATTTATGAAACGTACAGCAGAGTATATATCTGCTTTTGTTGTTCTTGTAAATGTTGTGTTCATATAAATGCATCTGTTTACGTAAGAATTGTTTTATGCAGGCTCACCACTAAAAATCACAGGCCCACAAAGTAGCCTGTATCATAGACAAATAAGATACATGATTTCATATGATCAGTTTAACTCAAATGATTTACCTTCTCTTGCAAAACGTCTCCTTTGTTGTAGGCCTTGGCTCATGACGTATACTCTGATCTAGTGGAAGATGCCTGTTTAGGGTTGTGCTTTGAGGTGCACAGGGCGGTCAAACAGGGCTATTTCTTCCTGGACGAAACGGACCAAGAAAGTATAAAGGATTTTGGTGAGTCAGTCATAAAAAATAAACAAATGCATTATTTCTAAAGCCTGGGCTGCATGGTTTTAAAATGTGTCTGTGCTTCATGCTCCCTCTGATGTAGAAATAGTGGACCAGCCTGGTGTGGACATCTTTGGGCAGGTGTACAACCAGTGGAAGAATAAGGAGTGTGTGTGTCCCAACTGCAGCCGGAGTATTGCAGCCTCTCGCTTTGCTCCTCATCTGGAGAAGTGTCTCGGCATGGGCCGCAACAGCAGCCGAATAGCCAACCGCAGGTCAGTGGGCTGTAAGCTCTCACCATTTAGTTCACTTAAAATTAAATGAGTTTACCTTTTTCTCACTAAATACACTGACATTATTCGGTGAAGGGAATGCTTAAAGGAACTTTCCACTATTTTTGAAAATAGGCTCATTTTCCAACTCCCCTAGAGTTAAACAGTTGAGTTTTACGAAGTTTTCGAATCCATTCAGCCGATCTCCGGGTCTGGTGGTAGCACTTTTAGCTGTAGCTTAGCATAGATCATTGAATCTGATTAGACCGTTAGCATCTCGCTCAAAAATGACCAAAGAGTTTCTATATATTTCCTATTTAAAACTTGACTCTTCTGTAGTTACATCGTGTACTAAGACTGACGGAAAATGAAAAGTTGCGATTTTCTAGGTCGATATGGCTAGGAACTATACTCTCATTCCGGCGTAAGAATCGAGAAACTTTGCTGCCGTACCATGGGTGCAGCAGGCGCAATGATATTACGCAGCGCCTGAAAAAAGTCCCCAGCTAGGTAACTTCCAATAAGCCTATTTTCAGGTGCTGCGTAATATCATTTTACGCAGTTTTAAATAGGAAAAATATAAAAACTCTTTGCTAATTTTTGAGCGAGATGCTAACGGTCTAATCAGTATTCTATGATCTATGCTAAGCTACAGCTAAAAGTGCTACCACCAGACCCGGAGATCGGCTGAATGGATTCGAAAACTTCGTAAAACTCAACTGTTTAACTCTAGGGGAGTTGGAAAATTAGCCTATTTTAAAAAATAGTGGAGTGTTCCTTTAAAGCAATAGTTGACCGAAATTCTTAATTAATCCTAATTTCTGTATGCTTTTTTGTTTTACTTCAGTGTTTTTATTCTATTGCCATGTACTGGTGGGAAAATGTGAAAAATTAGGGGTGACACATTTCTAATGATTATTTTCCAAAGATAACACGTAGACTCTCTGCCAGATGGAGAGATTTTATTGATCCCTGAGGGAAAATTTGAGTGGCATTCCAAAGCATTGATTGTTCTGCTGTTTCTACAGAATAGCCAGCAGCAACAACACAAGCAAGTCAGAAAGCGATCAGGAAGACAATGATGATGTCAATGACAATGACTGGTCCTATGGTTCAGAAAAGAAAGGTGAGCTCATCCAGTCTGTCTGCTCACCACTATTTGTCTCCAAATGTTGCACCAATTTTAGTTAATCTTATGAAGGCCTGATTTTAATAATTAATGATAACAGTTTATTAACCTCGTATTTTCACAGCCAAGAAAAGAAAGTCAGAAAAGGTATAACATTTTTATCAGATGTTAACATGTTGAAAATGCAAGCCAAATGTTCTACATTATAATAAATTGAAAAAAATATTTGAAATAAATCTGTGTGTTTTAGAATCCAAACTCTCCCAGGAGATCCAAATCCCTGAAGCACAAGAATGGTGGGTTTTCTTCTGACTGAATCTAGGTTTCAGGAGTTGTTTAAAGGTAGTGCACTGCATGGCAGACAGCAGGCTTCACTTGAACGTGTTGTGAGTCTTTTTCTGTCTTGTTGCACTGCAGGAGAGCTCAGCAGTAATGTAAATCCAGACCTGTACAAGGTGAGGTGATTAATTATTTTAATATTTAGAACATTGGTTCTTGCTTTCACTGTTGCATTTATTACTGTAGTGTTACAGCGATGTTGTTTCACTCTCTCTCTCTCATTCACTCATGCAGTATAACTACAGCTCTGGCATCAGTTATGAGACTTTGGGACCCGAGGAGCTGCGCTCCATACTGACTACGGTAAACAGCCTTATACACTTACATAAATTATTATTATATTCTTACACAGAGAATATATAATTATATTAAGAATATATATTATTGAGAGTATATTATATTCTTACATAATTATTATATATTTTTATTATTATATAGACTGTTTATCAAACCATTTCGTTTTTATTTTTCCTTCTAAAAATAAATCTATAAACAAAATGAAGGCTAATAAAAATAAGAATAAATAAAGAACAATAAATTATCTAGACAGATTAGGTCTACAAATAAAAGTCTCATAATTAACAAATCATATAATTTTTAATTACAGTGGAAAGAAAATCTTAATTCATCCTCAAAAAAATGCAATTCAAAACTGAATTTAATTCAAAATTATATCTTCTCTACTTATCCAAACTCTTGATGTTTTTTCTACCATATAGTGATGTTTCAGATTAAAATGCAGGTAAATTAAAATCTTTATTATGCTTGGGTATAGGAAAATATGTACCTTTTCAACTAAAATGATATTTGAATGTAGTGGAGTCTGGAGTGTTAGAGTAAAGTTTTTTGTGTTTGACCACCCCAAATGACGCATTTAGTGGTAAATTAATGTAAACTATTTCACTGTATTAGACCAAATAAAGGGGGCAACTAATATTTTGAACATTTGCAATTATTAGGATAAGTTTGACCATTAATTGAAGTGGTATTTTCCTCTTTTTTTCAGTTACAAAATCTACCAAGATCAAATTTCAGATATTTTTTGTGAATCTTTTGTAAATGTGTGAAATAAGAGTTAATCATTTTAGTTTCATTTCAGCTGTTTTGCCATTAAATGGTATTATTGGCATTATACAATCTCTCAACCACTGGAGTTTACCTCTTGCTAACAGGCTCTCTCTTTCCTCAGCAATGTGGGGTCGTATCAGAGCACACAAAGAAGATGTGTACTCGGTAAGAATTCAGTCCATATTTTTGAACGCAAAGTGTCATTTCTTCAGTGTTGTCACATGAAAAGATATAATAAAATATTTACAAAAATGTGAGGGGTGTACTCACTTCTGTGAGATACTGTAGTTTTTCGCTGTTTGAGTGTCAAGGATGTGTATGTATTAGTGTGTGCTGCTGCTTTAGAGCCAGAGATTGATTGTGCATGTGATGTGTGAACACATGATCTTTTTCATTCATGTAAATGGAAATGATCATGTTATGTTGGGACTGATTTTACGGAACACAACTGGCAACTCCATATAAACCCCATATTTTTGATTGGTGTTCACTTTTCAGTTTTCTTTCCTGTGTCATTTAATTTGGCCTTGCTTCTGCTAAAATGTATTTTTTTATTAATTAGGGCTGGACAATAATTTAATATCAATATGTATCGCGATATAATTCTTTTCAATAATGGTGATATGATTTTTAAACACATTTCCGATATTTCGACATACATTACCAGTGTTTCCCATACATTGATTTATTTGTGGCGTTTGACTTCGTTCAATAAACATGAGCACTGCACGTTTCAAAATCAAAACTTGTCGCCGGTGTTTTATATGAATGTATCTCTGAAAGGAACCGACTGTCTTCAGAAAAGTTTCGATGACATTTTAATTTGATCTGATAAAGTAGGGTTCATGAGCGGAGCTGCTTGGTTTACAGCCGTTACTGGAGAAACCGCTAGTTCTGCCGCTCTCACAGCGCCTCCTGCTGGCAGACAAGCAGTTTTTCCATTTTCAATAAGCCCGTCTCCAGCAACATGTTTTTGTTGTTGCTCTTTTTTTTCTGCAGCAACTCAGAGCACTTTTCATATTCTTTATCCTGGCTGAAGCACATTTGTTTCAATCTATAACAATAATCAGCCGCCCTACATTACTAGTCAAAGGTTTTTGAACAGTAAGATTTTGAAGTTTTTTTAATTTTTTTTAAGAATTCTCTTCTGCTCACCAAGTCTGCATTTATTTGATCCAAAGTACAGCAAAAACAGTAAAATTTAGAAACATTTTCTATTTGAATATATTTTAAAATTAAATTTATTTAATTTATTCCTGTGATCAAAGTTTCATAAGTTTGTATGCACAGACATCTGTTGTGGCTGTTCTTGCCAGTTTTTACAAGGCTTTTTAAAATAGTGTTCATATCGATATCGGAATTATATCGTATCGACCGAAATTAAGAAATATATCGTGATATAAATTTTGACCATATCATCCAGCCCTAATTTAAATAATCTGTCTCCATTTCAATTGGACATAAAAGTGCACCATCATTTCCCAATTGGACGGTCATAAGTTGTTTCAAAGCACTGCCTGTTTTACGCAACAAGAGACTTCTTGAGCATCAGCCAGCATGGAAACCTCCTTCCCAATACATGTTAATATCTAACCCTAGAGCCCCTTTTCCAGTCCTTCTGGCAGTGTTCACCCAGTCTCTTGCCCGTCATTGTCTCTGGTGCAGTGCGTAATGCCACGTTGTGTCCTGGCAGGTCCCAGCGTTGTCCCCAGCACACGGACGAACAGAGGAGGGCAGTCAGGGTCTTCCTCCTTGGGCCGTCCGCGTGAGTTTCACCCCTTCTCCCAACCCTGACCTCTCCTTATCAGAAAACAATCAATGTACCCACCCACTTTCCTCTCCTTTCATCTGTCTCTCTCTTAATATACCTCTTTTTCATCAAGCTTGTGTTCATTTGTAGCAGCTACCCAAACATAATGGTGAAAAACTAATAGGTCCTCGTATTGAGGCTTGAGGCACACCATCTGGAGTCAGTGTACATCTTAGTCTGCTGTGATTTTTCAGTGTGACATGAAGGGTAACATTTTATAATGATGTTTTATTTGTTAACATTAGTTAACTACATTAGTTAACAAACTAACAATAAACAATACATGCATTTATTAACCTTAGTTGTTGTAAATTTAATTAATTTTTAAAGAAAAAGTTGCATCTATTGTTAATGCATTTTTAAGTAAGGGCTGGAATTCACTACACAACTTCTTCCCAGATTTTTTCCCCCCCAATTTGCAGTCTGGAAGAGCCAACATTAGTTGGAGCAAGCCAGAGTCAGTCTGCAGATTTTGAGCAGTCAAAGCTGACAGATTTCACAGAAAATCACATAGTGTATTATGGGTGCAGACTTAGCTTTATACTATGATTCCATCTAGTCGGCAGATATCAAACGTGTGATATCTTGAATCTTTCAATCGAAATGTGTTTCCTAGCAACAGGAAGCATGTTTCAATGTGAGTTTGTTGTGTTCTGAATGCCTTTAAGCGTTAACAGGGGATGATGGGGATGATGCCCAGTTTTTCCTCTGTAACCATTTCAAATTCAGCAAATGTTTAGTGTTATAAAATCTGTTCAGATATTAAAAGTCGTATGATGTATTCCAACCCTAACATGAACGATGAACAACTGTATTTTTATTAACTTATATTAACAAAAGTTAATAAATGCTGTAAAAATGTATTGCTCATTGTTAGTTCATGTTAGCTAATACATTATCTAATGTTAACAAATTAGACCTTATTTAATAACGTTCGGTTTAAATGATGACCTGTTCATGCTTTTCTTTTTTCATGAAGAAGCCCAATTTTTCTAGTCCTTTTCCTTTATTAACTGAGCGTAATATTTCCATAAATTACACTAATATCTTATTTTTCTCGCTTTTGTAGACTAATTTACATTTAAGGCACTTTGCAGATGCTGTTATCCAGAGCAAGTAAAAAAAATAAAGTTCTTTAGCTTCACAATTTTAATAATGCTTGTTGAAAATTCAATGTGCAGTTTTAACCTGTAAAATGAAGGGTGACAAAGGAAACTGTCAGCTCATCAGCAAATGTCTCTTTGGTTTCAGATCTTTTGATTGTTTCTTTGATCTGGGGTTCTTGGTAAACATGTGCTTATTCAGCATTTGTCTCTGTGTAGTTATATCTTCCTTTCTGTTTGACAGGTCAACACTACCTGACTCTGATACAATGCTGGAAAATGATGGCTATGATGCCCCTGATGGCCAACTCATCATGTCTCGCCTCCAGTGGGATGGTTCCTCTGATATCTCACCATCAGACTCAGCATCTTCAAAAGCCAGTGAGGTTTTCATGAAAGCTTTTAAAAATTGCACGCTCTGTCTGTTTTTTTCACTTATTCGCAGTCTTGTTCTCAGGCACCAATAACTCAGAATCTAAGAGACCTAAGAAAAAGAAGAAGCCCAGCACGCTGACTCTGACTACCACTGGAAGTGGAGGAGAGCGGGACAAAGGGCAGGAACGAGAGAGAGGAGACCGAGATAGAGTAGTATGCGGCGGGAGCGGTAGCAGCAGCTCCCAGAATGCACTGGGCCTGTCCAGTCGGAAAAAGCGACCAAAACTGCCAGTTCCCCTAGCCCCTAGCATCTACGATGACCTGAACTAAGGAACATGCAACTCGCACACACTTACACACACAGTTTATGATAATGACTGATTTGATGAGTCCTTATGTGATCCCTAGTTTCCACCATTTCAAGGTATATGAACGAGTTGAGACACTCTCTGTTGAATGTGTAAGAGAGGAAAGATCTGGGCACCATTTCAGACATACGTTAACGGGGGCACAATAGAGTACATTTATTATGGCACAGTGTTGCACAGTGAAAAGTGAGTGTAAAAAGCGACCAAAACTGCCAGTTCCCCTAGCCCCTAGCATCTACGATGACCTGAACTAAGGAACATGCAACTCGCACACACTTACACACACAGTTTATGATAATGACTGATTTGATGAGTCCTTATGTGATCCCTAGTTTCCACCATTTCAAGGTATATGAACGAGTTGAGACACTCTCTGTTGAATGTGTAAGAGAGGAAAGATCTGGGCACCATTTCAGACATACGTTAACGGGGGTACAATAGAGTACATTTATTATGGCACAGTGTTGCACAGTGAAAAGTGAGTGGTCTTGTGATTAAATGTGGTTTTTGTAGGTAGATGTGAGTTGGAGCAAGAATTTTCTTTATTTTACTATGCAGTTCACGGTCATTGTGTTATTGCATACTCTTGTGTGTGTATACATGAGATTTGGGTTTACAGTGACACATGAAAATGTGGTATGCATGGGTGAATGCTGAACAGATTGCATGTATGTGAATGGGATGTTGCAAATATTTTGTTTCCTGGTGGCACATGTATACATTAGGTTAATCTGTGCAATGTCCTCTACTGGTTTTAAAGGGTGTCTTTCCTTCATATCGTCTTGCTAATGTTACTGCAACCTGTTGTCTCTTCTCAGCTGCTTTCTGCAAGTGAAGCTACTACTCATACTCTCTCTTGACAATGTCTAATTGCTAAATAATGGACTTGCATAGTGCTACCGACAGCTTTCTGCCAAATCTGTGAATACACAATCTTTTGCCTTTTGTGTCTCTTGAAGTTAATATTCTTGTTTGTTGTCATGGCTAATATTTCTTGTCTGATAATCTTATTTATTTAGCTTAGTGTCAATGTAATTTTTTTTTTATAATCATGGCTTTTTGACTCCTTGATCTATAACGTATGCATTTTCTTGAATTACAAGGTTTAAATGGCTGAAGAGTTTGGTGAGCCTTAGAGCACTTTGTTAGATGTCAGCTTGTTTTGTATAAAATGTTTGGTAAAAAAAAAAATCTGAAATGCAAATAGTAATTGTAGATGCACTTAAATGGATAAAATCCAGCCCGTATAGGCGCCTTATTGTATTTTCAGTTAAACATTTTTTGTCATTGATCTGTCTTTGGTGACTTTGGTTTCTTGAAGTTTAAATGATCTTGTGTGAACTGAAATGTCCGCATGCTGGAGAAAAAACAACTTAGGATATACTATTGCTGTGGGTGGATGTTTCTTCTGTGATGCACAGTTATTGCTCTGGCTCTCAATGGACTGTATTATTTCTGTAATAGTCTAAATAAATATTTCTCAGGATTGTTTGTTCTCACACATTCTTAATTCACTCTTAAAAGGACAGTTCACCCCAAAAAAATCATGATTTAATCACCTTCATGTCGTTTCAAAAATGTATGGCATTTTATCCTATGGGATATGCTTGTTTATAGTTTGAGAAATGTCTTTTTTCCATACAGTGGACGTTAATATGCGCCAATATTGTTCGGTTTCCAACATTCTTCAAAATATTTTTTTGTGTGTGTGTGGCCCTTTAGGCTGGATCATGAACAGTGTTAATTGTGTGGATAAGAACAAAAAAATGTAATTTCAAAGATGAGCAAATTTATTCTGAATTACTGCATCAAAGCAAAACCAAAAAGCATTTGAATCAAAGAGGTGCTAGTTGTCTGTAATAATGAGAATGAGAATAGGTAGACTAGGTTTCCCTCTAAACATATGCAGATATTGCTGCCAATACTGAGAGAAATGACCCATTTATACAAGAACCAATCCAACTGAGAGCTTTAAGTTTCCTCCATGCCCCTCTTGATTTATCTACAGTAAATACATTGCTTATATACAGATTTTACACAGGACAAAAAATGATTTGCTTTGTTATTGATGTCGCATATGAAATGCCTATTAATGCAGTGAGTTTTCTACAGACTATAGCGGTCCAAATACTCCTGTATGTTTGCATGTAAACTCTTCATGTATAAAACTTTTATGTCCTGAATGATAGCTATGAGCTGTAACTAGCAGCAGACATGCTAAACCAGAATGTTATGTAGAAATAAGTATGAAATAAATAGATTTCAGTGACACTGGCAAAAGAAAAAAATCCTTCAATCACAAACATCTAAATTGAGTAAATGGATGTCTCAAAATATCTGCTAAATAGCACATCACATCTGTAGTTGTGTATTAACATTTAAACATATTACTTTTTTTTGCTACTACAGAAGATAATGGTACTATTACCAGTGAAGAGACGCATTAATTGATAAAAAACCAATCAGTTGACAAATTGCGATTCCTCTAAATGAAAAGACCAGTCAGACATGGGATCCTGACTTCTCTTTACACGGAGAAGCTACATTTTATGCTGAGATTGAACAATTATAAAGCTATTTTTTTCCCAAGAACTAAATTATACAGCAGTATTACTTTGTGCTGCTCCCGAATGAAGCTGAAAGCACTAGCACACACTTCCGTCGTCTAAATGGCACCAGAACCCTAGAGGGCTCCCTGAGAACTTTCTCGGCTACCACTGATTGGTTATTTTCAAGTCCCATCGTTTCGTTTCCTTCTTCCCTAATATTGGCATCATTCCTCTCTTCATCCATCTTCTCATCGACTGTGCATGCCGAAGATGAGGAAGCTGAAGAAGACTGTGACCCCAACCAAAGAGATGGTGGCTGGGGCAGTGAACAGCTGGCGGTAGTTGATTCGGAAGTACCAAACGACGGCGAGCAGCACCACGAACACGGGGATCACCAGGCTTCCTGTGCTGAGAGCCACGCCGGCCGAGCGAAGCCCCCCGCTGAGCATGGAGCCCCTCCCGGCTCGAGGGTTCTCCTCTGCGGCCGCCTCACGCAGCACCTGGGCTTGAGAGATGTGACAGTGGAGGACGCTGTTGTGGGTGATGCTGAGGGACAGGAGAGAGCGCTGAGGGTCCTGCAACAGCTGACCCTGGTAGATGAGCTTAATCTGATGTTCACGGCCAGAGAAGTACTTACTGAGAGATAGAGAGAAATCATTGACAAACAAAAGTGAGTTGCTTGTTGCAATTAAGCAACACCAAATAAAGGAAGGATTTTAATGCATTTGCTTTTGGCCATTACATTTCTTAGTATTGCAGTCTCACCCTGTCTTGTGACAAATGTTATTGCATTAAAGGTGACATATCATGAAAATCTGACTTTTCCAGGTTTTAAGTGCTATAATCAGGTCCCGCATCTACCAACCAAGGAAACGTGAAAAAGATTAACCCAGTAACTTTGTTTTGGTAAGCCTTTTTCTGCAAGCGTCTGAGAAAACGAGCGCGTCTGATTTCACTCCCTTGGTGACGTGGCAAAGGGATCTTATTATGATATTACCGCCCCTTAATCTGTAAGTTTACACCCACAGTGCCGTCATTTTGATTTCGCAAGCGACAACGGTGTACCAGCTCTAATGCCATGGCGAAAATTTGAGCAAAACATGCTAACTGTTCTGCCTTTGGCTTCACAGACGAACTCGTGTGTTTTTAACGTAAACTTGTGTGCGAATGAGAACTTAGTTTAGTACTCGCATGCGGTGACAGCCGCTTTCTGTCCGTGTGCTTCGATTGTGTGTGCTCAGAAAACCAGCATGCGGTGACAGCCGCTTTCTGTCCGTGTGCTTCGATTGTGTGCGCTCAGAAAACCATATATCAGAAGATTAAACTCATATGGTTTAAAACACATGATTTCAGTGCGATAAATATGATAATCAGAACCAAAACAGATGTTTTTAGCAGGTACAAGCTGTAATGGCTCAGCTCTATTCTGGAAAAGAGGGCGGGGAGCAGCAGCTCATTTGCATTTAAAGAAGCAGGCCCAAAAAAAGCGTGTTTCTGCTTCCACTCAAAATAGGCATTTTCAAAATGTTATAAATGATCTGTGGAGTATTTTGAGCTGAAACTTCACAGACACATTCTGGGGACAACAGAGACTTATATTACATATTGTAAAAAGGGGCATAATATGTCTCCTTTAAGACGTTAATGTTTTGATGTGGTTTAAACTTCAGTAGCAAAATGTTGATACATCTAACTCTCTATCAGGGTGACGTGGTCATCTGGATGGCAAAACATTTTGTGCGAAATGTAATACATAAAAAAGAAGCGTTAAACAAAATGTATAATATTTAAAATGTAAAAATGTATAAACTACTGTTAAAAGGTATGGGGTCAGTAAGATCAAAAGTGACAGTAAAGACATTTTAAATGTTACAAAAAATTCAAATAAATGCTATTATTTGAACTTTCTATTCAAAGAAGCTTGAAGTAAATGTATCACGCAGCAGACCTGTTTAAATAATAATAAGAAGAAATGTTTCTTGAGTGGCAAATCAGCATATCAGAATGTTTTCTGAAGGATCATGTGACACTGAAGACTGGAGTAATGATGCTGAAAATTCAGCTTTGCCATCACAGGGATAAATTTAGCAGCAGACAAATTTAAAATATATTAAAATAGAAAACAGTTATTTAATTTTATTTATTATTTATAATTAAATGTTAATAATATTTCAAAATATTAGTATTTTACTGTATTTCTCTATTCCTTGGTGAACATAAGAGACTTATTTGACTTTTATTGACTTATTTGTATATATACACATGCAATGTGACGTCACATTGTTTAGGCCCGCCCACGACTGCTGACTGACAGCCCTGCATTACAGTCGTTTCTGCCCTCAGCGAGTTGTGTTTGGTTGTACGCTGTCCTCCATTTCCTCCACGCTCGAGCAGCTGTGACATCAACAATGTTCCGTAAGCAATGCCGGTGTTCTGTGTTTGGATGTAAGACTGAACGTAAGAGTCTTCTTTTTCAGGACGCAGTGGATTACTTTTATTTCTAAAGGTAATGCACCTCAAAATCATGTTATTATAGTGCATATGTTTTAACCACATTTGTATGTGCGTGTTGTTTCGTTAAAGCACAGAGCGAACGTTATATAAGTATTTGTGTATAAATGTGTTGCTCATCCATGCAA